TCAGAGTTGTTTGTAGATTTAAGGCTGAGATAGATAGATTCTTGATCAGTAGGGGAATCAACAATTATGGGGAAAGGACAGATAAATAGGTATGAGGAAAGTTGGATTAGCCATGATCCTATTGAATGACATTTGTGTGGTGCAAATGTGCTCGTTTGTCGTTGTTGTTCTTATCATATTGTCAAACACTATTCCAGCAGTGGAATTAAGTGTCAGGGGTTTGTATGTTGATGGCTTATTTCACTCCCCTTTTACAAAAATCTTTCAGATCTCAAAGTTACTCATTTTCTAGGATAGAGCAGCAAGTAGTGCCTGCTCAGGTCTGTGTCATGCAGTGAATTTTCCCCTGACTTCACCCAATATTCAACAAATCTTAGACGTGAGCCTGCACTTCAGGCCAAACTCCACCGTGGGACTGTTTACTTTCAATTGCTCCAGCTTACCCATACTGTCATTTCAAAATATGGTCATGGAAATGATGACCATCGTTCATGACTGTGCTGTGCTGTCACATAGGACAAATGGGTTGTCCTTTGCTGTGGGAGGTAGAGTTTCAAATTAATAGTAAGAACTTCATTAACCAAGGACAAATTGGACTCGTTCCCTGTAGAACTTAAGAGCACAGAATGCCAAGTGCTGAAGCATTGTACATTTACCAAATGGAACAGCACTTAGAGACCTCAGCGCAAAAAAAAAATGCTGTTACTTTGGCCTCACTCACAAGATAACCCTACAACCCAACAAGAAGTGAAGGCCTGCTGTCAATACAGAACTGGACTTTATCATCACTGTTCCAGCTGAGATAGTCATTTGATGGAGAAACTGAGTATAGTCCTCAATTAGAAGTAGCTTGGGCCTCATGTCAATATGAACGATAATGTATTTTGTCTCTCTGGCTCTGTCACCTACTTTAGAATTCTAGATTCAGGTGCATAAACCTTCCCTTAGCAATTGATTTCTTGTCCCACCTTTAAAGGAACACAGGAGCCAAAGAGTCCAGGTTACATTGCGGAGCCACTGACATGGAGGAAACAAACGTCTTCCACCTCCTTCTGGACTGTGCCTTTGGTGGAAAAAGTCTGGGGATGGGTTCTGTCAATATTCATCCTGAGAAGCTCTGTCATGCACGATTCCCGGCTGTTCCCAGGAAAGCACCAGGAGACGACAGGTGCCAGAGGACAATTGGAGAGCTGCGTGCCAGATGGCTGGCGGCAGATAGCCTTCCACTGAAATTAAGTTCCAGGACTGTGTGGTTGCAGACTTGGACAGCCACTTCTGAGGCTCAATGTGGAAAGGCCACTCCTATGTGCAGAAGGCTGAAAGTCATGCAAAGCTCCTTGGACTGCATGCCTCAGCCAACCTTTGACATGAAATGTACATTGCAAATATATCCTGCAATCCTAAGAGTAGTGAGACATCTCAGTGTGCCAGGGCCTGTACTGAAAGAAATCGATTGATTGTGCCATGGGTGTCACCAGCAAAGCCAGCATTTGCTGCCCACCTCTATTTGTCCTTGAAGTGAGTGGCTTGCTCGGCCATCCCAGAAGGAGGCTAAGTCAACCATATTTCGTGGACCTGAAGTCACAGATAGGCCAGACTGGGTAAGCACGGCAGTTTCCTTCCCTAAAGGGCATTAGTGAACCAAATAGGTTTTCACGGTAATCATTGATCATTATTACAGAGACTCGAGATATTTCTGAACGGGTAGACAGAAAAGCAGGGCTCAGATTAGCACAGTTTAGCTGCGGGAAAGACCTGACTGGTCGCACTGCCAGTGAGTGATTTTATATTGACCCCACCCACGTCCTCCAAACAAAAACTCTTCTGTCAGCAATTCCGGTTCGCGCTTTCTCCCCCATTGGTCAACAGTTGTCATCTTGCGATAATAACCTGGTCGCCATTATTTCTGGCGAGATTTTGACAGGTTAAAACTGGAGCGCACATTTAGTGCAACAGTGCACTTCTGTTCCGTGCATGAGACTCGTGGGCTGAAACAAAGGCAGCGTCAGATCCTCGAGGGAACATCGAGGCGTCTTCAAGTGAGTTCTGTTTCTTCCTTGTTGTTTCATTCCTTAGGATCCGCTTTCTCGGCTCCTCCCTCCACCTCCCCTGCTGTATCCACGGAGCGTTAAGCAAACGCATCCTTTCATTCTGCGAGGAGTAAGAGTCTGGAAAACCCAGAACCTCGATGGAAGAACGCAGTACAAATTATTTCTTGTAATCCGGTAATCACGGGATTGAGAACTGACAATATTCTTATTGTAAAAAGCATTGGAAATGGTAAAATAAACCTTATCAATTATTCAAAGAATTTCTAAATTACTATTTAAATTTACGCTATATGCAATTTATGGTTAGAATCCTTAGACTACTATTAGCAGTACAAACTAGACAGAAATGTAATTGTTATGTTGTTTTTGGGAATAATAGCAGTCATTATTTATCTGTGAGAACAACCTTACTTGCAAAAACATACATACAATAACTGATCTATTTTTGGTTAACTCTGATTTGTAAAGAAAGAAAACGGAGAGATTTTAAGACATGCAGAACACAAGAGAAGGTGGAATTCACCCCTTTCCAGTCACGAATTAGCAAGAGTGGGACTGTGTTGAAGGGTTACCCTCTGTATTAGGTCGGGGCTTATGTCAGAAAAGTATGCATTTTCTATTTCCCAACCGACCTCTACATAGACATTATGTCTGGAACGGAGGAGGACATAAATCCAGGTCTCCTAGCCCCGAGGTAGGGGCAGTACCACTGCACCACAAGAACCTTTGCCAACGTGTGGGTTTTAAATGAAGACGAATTACTGAGTATAATGAGATCAATGATTCCAAACAGGACTGGACCTCGAAGACCCATGTGGAACTGATAGATACCATGTACATTTTAAATTTGGTCCAGCATCTGTGATCCATTGGTGGGGATTATGGTTTAATCGTCCGTAACTTTCTGCCTTTAAGCTATTTATCCTTGTATTTTCCATCATATAATTAAAGATTTTCCATTTGACCTGCCTCTGACGACCCTGGGGCAACATTTTGCAGGGATTATGGCTGTGGTCATAGCTTCCCCGTTATAGGTGGAGTACGCGTTGGTGGATATCTGATCTACGAAAGGAAGGTCACGTTGCGGCTGCATAGGACATTGGTTAGTCCACTTTTGGAATACTGCGTTCAGTTCTGGGCTGCCTGCTACAGGAAAGATGTTGTGAAACTTGAAAGGGTTCAGAAAAGATTTACAAGGATGTTGCCGGGGTTGGAGGGTTTGAGCTATAGGGAGAGGCTGAATTGGCGGGGGCTATTTTCCCTGGACCTGATGGGTGACAGCAGAGAGATTTATAAAATCATAGGGGCATGGATAGGGTGAATAGCCAAGGTCATTTTCCGAGAGTGGGGGAGTCCAAAATTAGAGGGTATAGGTTTAAGATGATAGGGGAAAGATATATAAGAGACCTAGGGAGCAACTTTTTCACTCAAGAGAGTGGTGCATGTATGGAATGAGCTGCCAGAGAAAGTGGCAGATGTAGGTACAATTATAACAGTTAATAGGCATCTGAATAGGTACATGAACAAGAAGGGTTTAGAGAGATACGGGCCAAATGCTGGCATATGGGACCGGATTGGTTTGAGATGTCTGGCCGGCATGGACGAGTTAGAATGAAGAGTCTGTTTGGATGATGTACATCTCTATGACTCTATAGCAAGATATCACCAATCTCTTTTAAGAACATTTGAATTCATGACAAAACGACGAACAGTGATAGCAACTAATAGAATCCCTTAAGAAACTAACAGAGGAGTCTTAAGTTCCCCACTCCACCTCTAAATGTTGGATCTGAGTCAGATAAGAAGTTAATATTTAAGGAAGAAAACTAGAGAAAAACCCGAAAGAACTGCGGATGCTGTAAATCAGAAACAAAAACAGAAGTTGCTAGAAAAGCCTGGCAGGTCTGGCAGCATCTGTGAAGAAAAAAAATCAGAGTTTACGTTGCAAGTCCAATGATCCTTCCTCAGAAGAAAACTAGAGAACCGCCCGCGTCCACTTCTACGGCCACAGGCAGCCGTCAAATCGAGACCATAAAAGTAAGTTATGTCGGAGACTGATGGCTCATCTTTTTAGAAAAACACAATATTGATATTTAAGCAATTCTTATTGGATTTCCTGACACCCTCGAAAGCTAGGAGCTAAGAGGAGACGAGTATCACAAATGGATGCCATTGTGTCTGTCCTGTCTGTGCCTGCCCTCTGCAAAAGCAATTCATTCTGACTGCCGCAATGTTTTATTTTTTCTGATGCGGATCCATTGTCTTTTGGAAGCAGGGATCAAACCTGCCACTCCACGCTAAACAGTGCATTCCCGCTCCTGACCAGAAGAGGGCCAGATCCGTAGAGTAAGCACCTGCACAGCACCTCTTGTGGGCCAAACAGAACAGGGGTATTCCTTTCTCGCCCACTGGAGACAGCAAGCGGGTATGCTTCCAGTTCCTCGCCTTGCGACTGATTTTGGCTTGTGATAACATATGTGATAACATGCCTTGCGAAGCTCATTAGAAGCAAAATGGTATCCCCCGCTTAAACTGTTCATAGGGCAACCTCCGTTCATGTCCATACAGTCAAAGAAATGCACAGCGCAGAAAAAAAAGTAATCCCTTCGACTCACCGAGTCTCTGCCTGTCAAAAACAAACACCTGACTATTCTAACCCCATTTTCCCATTTGGTGAATTTCGCCTGTTGCATCCATTTTAAACAGAAGACAGTCGTGTGTTCTCATGTGGGTCTTCCCGTTATATTCAGAGGTTTAAAGCTCAGCTACAGTGGTGTACTGCTTTTCTTGTCTACACCAGAGTTTTCTGTAAATTCTTTTATTACTTCTAGGTAAAGTAAACAGCAACAACTTGGAGTGGATCCGCGGAGGCGAAACTGACAGGGCTCTGTCTCGGATTGGGAGACGTCTGTTTGGAAATTGGCGAGAAACCCTTTGACAGCACAGAGGATGAACTATGGCACGGATGACTATCCCCTCCTGGAGTTGGAGGAGAAGGATTATGAATTCAGCGGACACCCTCTAAAGATCACGATGTTTAAAGGAGCTTCTTTAGGCGTCTCTGCTTATGTTTGGGGACCTGTAAGTCTGGTGGACTGTTACAAAAAGTTTCCTTCGGAATTAAAAATGCCAATTTGGCTGCACTGGGGCAGATTAGAAGCTGATTGAGTCATGTACAGCACGGAAACAAACCCTTCGGTCCAACTCATCCATGCCGACCACTCCCATTTGCTAGTATTTTGCCCATATCCCTCTAATCCCCTCTTATTCATATAACCAGCTTTTTAAATGTTGTAACTGCACCAGCTTCAAAATCTGAACTGGCTTCCATTTCAGACAGGGCTCATCGCAAATGTGATGCCACAAGGGAACCAGTGATTCTTTGTTAATCTTTGATCATTGCTGTAATTTAGAAAACATATACTGTAGTGCACTGAACCTGTGGCATTCTAAATCCGATTCGGTTGCCGAGGTGCTGCTGCTGAGCACACATGTATTCGGTAGTACTTCTTTTTATTCATGGGAAATGGACGTCGCCAGCTGGGCAAACATTTATTGCCCATTCCTAATTGCCCTGGGGAAGGTGACGGTGAACCGTCTTATTGAATTGCTGCTGTCCTTGGAATGTAGAGACATACGCAGTGCTGTTAGGGAGGGGAGTTCCGGATTTCGACTCAGCGACACTGAAGTAATAGGGACATGTATGACCCATTACGTGGAAATATCGCAAGGAGTAAGCACCTCTGCAGGAAATAACCCTTTGCTGTTCAGTGACACCCTTAACCCAACAAGTTCCGTTAAGTGTGGTTCAGTTTATAAAGTATTTTTCTCTGCACAAAGTCTACAGTCATCACCTCAGACTTGCAATGTAGTGAAACTGTAGTCCAACACTTTAAAAAGTTCTGATGTCTACCCCTGGCTATGCACACTGTTTACATGATGAACGCAGTTACTCGTTTGCAAGGGGACTCAGGGTTAGTGGCCCTTGAAAAATTTGCTTCTCATTAGATTTGCTGTCCTCTCCGAACTGAAGCCAAGAGCTTGGAATCGCTCATAAGGGTTCTCTAATGTCTCCATTATAAGGTGCTTGAGTGACCCTTAATAAGCCTGCCAATTTTCCAGAATTATCTTTAAACTTGTGACCGTTTACAGATAAATATCTTGGTCAGACTGTGGGTGTTTTTTCCCCCCTCAGGGGATTGTCCTTTGTCGCTATTTTGAGGCTCAGAAGATTGATTTTACCGGCAAGAAGGTGCTTGAACTGGGCTCTGGCACTGGAATTGTGGGCATATTGGCGGTGCTATTGGGTAAGTGAACACAGCAGTAGCTCCTCATGACGCAACGCAGTGGATAGCGCCCAATCAGAGACTTTACGAGACCCCTCCCTGTAGTGACTTGCTCCCCAAAGTGCACTACTAACTTCACAATCCTAGATGTTAGAAGGAAGGGGCAATCGGACAATAGTTGGTTGGGAACCTTCAAATCGACCAAATTTGTGTCGCTTCACCAATAAGAGCAATCGACCCACTAATGACTGAGATAGTGGTTCCTCTATGCATTATCTGATGCATTTGTGCGTTTTCCTTACTGATCAACATCATAAAGGAAAATCCAAAGACTGTTAACATGAAAATAACAACATGCAACTAACACTAGACATAATCACCAGGAAATGGTGTTATGAACAAACTGTTAAATCATGTGAGCTCCTAATAATCCCTACCGGACTGAGGGTTTTGCCTTTTGTTTCTTGGTTCTCGAACCAACTTTGTCGTCGTTAATGAAAATTTCACTACAATACAACCTTCGGGATCTGAAAGGGACACCTGCTTCTGAAGGTGGTACTGACCTGGATGGATGCTGGGCACTTGCTTGCTGGTCATTGACTTTACATTGCTTATGACTCATGATAAGGGATAAGGACATTTGTCCCTTTTGACTGCATTGTAGCTGAGTGACGTGTCTGATTATTGGAGGACTTTCTTTGACTAGACCTTGTCGCCTTTGAAGTTCCGCAGATTTAAAAGTCACAGCCAGCGTGTGATGATGTTCCCACTTGGACCCGTCGCTGCATGGCGTGACTCAGCGTGGTATAGAATTTCCACAGCCCAATAACCAGCCCAGAACAAAGTTATAATTATTTCCAACATAGTGCGGCCTCTATGTGCTATCTCTCTCGTTACTAATTGGTTATTCATATGCTACTGTCGTAGGATCATAGAATGCTTAAAGCGCAATACGTTTCTATTCGGCCCGTAGTGGCTATATCTACGAGCAACCTTGCTGATCCCACTCTCCTTCCTTTCCCCATAGCCTTACACTGGACAATTCTATTGATGGAAAATAAAAACCGAAAGACCTGCGGATGCTGTAAATCAGGAACAAAAATAGAAGCGTCAACGGACCCGAAACGTTAACTCTTTTTTTTTCCTTCACAGATACTGCCAGACCTGCTGAGCTTTTCCAGCAACTACGTTTTTGTTTTAATTCTATTGATGGGAACAATTTATGTTTCCTCTCTCTCGACTCCTCGTCAGTTCGAACACCTTTATCGAATCTGCTGTCGATTTTCTAAAGAGAGCAGCTCCCTCTTCCCCCAATTATCCATGAAAGTGAAGACCCTCGTTCTTGGGACCGTGCTGGTAAATCTTATTTGCACCTTCACCAACGACTTCGCATCTTTCTAAGATTGTGTCGTCTAGAATTGGACATAATGCTTCGACTGAGGCTGAGCCATTGTTTCAGAAAGATACACCATAACATCCTGGAGTTTGTAGACCAGGCTTCGTTTTATAAAGCTCAGGATGCTGTCTGCCCTTTCAAACAATTTCTCAACCTGTCTTGCCACCTTTAACAACTTTGGCAATCTATTCCGGTTCCCTCCGCTCTCGTACCTTTTAGAATTCTAGCGCTATTGTATACAGCATCTCCTCGATTATCCTGATATTAAATTTCATCTGCTATATGTTATGTATATTATGTTCCTTACTACAATGGTTCCCCCTGGTCACAATGCCTCTAGTTACATATCCTGTTTAGGACATGTACTTCCCTACTCCATGTGCTATTCCACTGGTCTCTGACTCAATCGTACGCAACAACAAACAAACAGTTGTTACTTTACAGAGTCTGCACTTCCCTCGCTACTCAAGATTCGCAGACCCGAATGGACAGGCAGCGAGCGACTCAGAAGCTGTTTGCGCATTCCCGTTAGCATTCGTTTCTAATGTGCATTCCCTCTTAGAAAGAGAAAACAATAACCATGGAATTGCAAGACAAAATATTAAGCTAATTTAAATAACTGTTGACTATTCACGGTGGCTCAGTGGTTAGCACTGCTGCCTCACAGCACTAGGGCGCCTGTCAGTGTGGAGTTTGCACATTCTCCCCGTGTCTGCGTGGGTTTCCTCCGGGTGCTCCGGTTTCCTCCCACGGTCCAAAGATGTGCAGGCTAGGTGGATTGGCCATGCTAAATTACCCGGAGTGTTCAGGGATGTGTAAATTAGGTGGGTTATAGGGGAATGGGTTTGGGTGGGATGCTCTGAGGGTCGGTGTGGACTTGTTGGGCCAAAAGGCCTGCTTCCATACTGTAGGGATTCTACGAACTATTCGGAATGTGAGTGGGGGTGGATGTGGTGAGGTAGGTGTCGTAGGGTAACGTGGGTGCGTTCAGTGGCGAGAAATTGAAGTGTATTTAGCAATGAATATGTGGCAACTCACGCTGGGGGGAGCCAGAGGATAAATATGACTTTTTTTTGGCAGGTGGAGATGTCACCATGACGGATAGGCCGTACGTTTTGAAACAAATCGAGTATAACATACTGGCTAATGTTCCGCTCAACTCTAGACACCGTTCCAAAATCCGCGCCCTGGCTTGGGGTAGCGACCAGGACAGTTTCGCAACCGACTTTGATATCATTCTGGGATCGGACATCGTGTACAGCCCATCGCAATTTCCGAATCTTATACAGACATTGCTGCACTTCTGCACAGAAAAGACTGTAATTTATCTGTGCTCGGATGTGAAGTATAGAGAGGGATCGGCTGAATTCCACAATGAGCTCATGCCGGCGCAATTTCATAGCCAACTCATTCATACCAGCGGAAGCAGTTGCATTTACAAAGTGACAAAAAAAGTTTCAGACGATGAAGACTAGTTTCTGATGCAGGGTCGGAAGGTTGACAGCCTTCTACTTTTTCCTTCCCACTATTCAGGGGGAAAAAAAAAACGAGCGTTGCTAACTTTTTCATTTGAATAAATATCGCGTTGTTTACCTTCCATTTTCTGCCCTTTTCACTTTCCTGGATCTTCCAAATATTGGTGATACACATTGGCACGACCCATTAAAATACTAAACGTACGTATCCCTTACTGGAGACTGCGAGCCAAAGATTTGTCTAGAGGGTCATATATAAGAACAGCTCATAAAGGGACTGAATATGAAACATTATGCTCCTAACGTCGCGTAGACCACCCTGGACAGGCACATAATTTCTTCCATTTGGAGCTATGGGATGCTGGTATATCTCTGGTACCCCCAGTAACCCTCAAAGCTGGAATTCATTCGTCTGGGCTAAAGTGTAGAATACTGTTGAACTCTCTGAATGAAAAGGAGCAAAATAAGGTTCCAGGATAGAAATGATTCAGTTTGGTATCAGTGATGAACCTACAATTGCACTGCTATGACGATCAGTCCGTCTCTTACAATTTTAAAAAAAATTAATGTTTAAAGTAAACTGGCGAAGCCCTTTACTTAATACTAAAAAAATCACAGGGGGCGCAATTTAATTGGTAATATGTTATTAGAAAACAGAATTAACCGCTCTTTGTATTGATTCAGTTCCTGGCCATTCACAGAACATGTTTGTTTCCACTGTACGAAATGAACGTGATTTCAGTTTCGTTCCGATTCTGGAATGTGATGAAGGTATCCTCAATCTTCACTAACCTCTCCAACATAACACTAATAATAACTCTACCCCAACCCTATGTCTACGCTTGGCTTCTATTTTAAATGCGACCTTCTCATTTCTTTCATTTGGAGCTATGAGATGCTGGTATATCTCTGGTACCCCCAGCAACCCTTAAAGCTGGAATTCATTCTTCTGGGCTAAAGTGTAGAATACTGTTGAACTCTCTGAATGAAAAGCCAAAGTTAAATCCTGCAGCTATACTTGCTTGCATTTCTGAAAATGTGCATGTCATCTGTAATTGTTAGTTTCTTTTTATTGGAAGCAATAAAACTGTGATAAAGCTTAAAATTGTTCCCACCACTGAAGGAATTGAATGAATAGTGATTTATTTGCTTTACTTTTCCCAAAATTTGTGGTTTAAAATAACACCACTGTGCAATAAGAAAAATGAATAATAAAAATCACCATAATAAATGATATGTATCAGTTTACAGATTGGTTCCGCATATTGTGGATTATTTGAACTTGTCCTTTGTATTGATCGGATTCAAAAAATGCAAAAACAAATCATATGATCTCCAGTATATTTCTACTTCAGATATAGATATACACCACAATGCACACATAATCAGCGAGCAAGCTGATGACAAATGGAGTTCAACGGCGAGCAATGTGAGCTCAACCACTTTGAACTTAGAAATGAGCGACAATGGTGACGCAGAAATATTTACCGTCTTCAAATGCAGAAATCACTTAAACCTAATGGGGAAATGATAAACTGCTCATGCAACCTGATAAAATACTACTTTGCATCTTAATGCATCGGTAAACCAAAGAGGTGGATGTTATCAGAGATAGTAGGAACTGCAGATGCTGGAGAATCTGAGATAACAAGGTGTAGAGCTGGATGGACACAGCAGGCCAAGCAGCATCATAGGAGCAGAAAGGCTGACGTTTCGGGCCTAGGCCCTTCATCACACCTCTAAGCCATATCTTTAAGGATTAATAGGACATAGGAGCCCAAAACTATTGAGCATAGGCTTACGGTGAGAGGAGAAAGATATCAAAGGGACCTAAGGGGCAAATTTCTCACACGCAGAGAGTGATGCGTGTATGGAATGCGTTGCCAGAGGAAGTGGTGAAGGCCACAACATTTAAAAGGCATCCAGATGGGTACATGAATAGGAAGGGTTTAGAGGTATATAGGCTAAATGCTGGCAAATGGGACTAGGTTAATTTAGGATTTCTTGTCGGAATGGACGAGTTGGACCTAAGGGCCTGTTTCCATGATGTACAACTTTATGATTCTATGACTCTATAATTGCTGAAGTTTGGAAAAGTATGTGAAAACAGATTGCCTAGCAAGAAGGTTGCATTGGCGTGAGAAAAGACTGCTCTGCAGCGAAGCCTAGACTTGCTTTTATCCAGGTGCAGAGGAGAACAGGGCGGCACGGAGGCACAGTGGAGGCACTGCCTCACAGCATCAGCGATCCTGGATCGATTCCAGCCCCGGCGACTATCTGTGTGGAGTTTGTATGTTCTCTGGGTGTCTGCGTGGGTTCCTGCCGGGTAATCCGGTTTCCTCCCACAGTCCAAAGATGTTAAGTTGATGGTGGATTGGCCATGCTAAATTGCCCCTTAGTGTTCGGTAGGTGTAATTTGGAGATGCATCCAGTGGGCCGCCAGCCGATGTTCCAAAGGAGGCCCTAAGGTGTCAATAAAAGCCTAAGAAATGACCCAATCTCCTCATGGCACAGATTAAACCAGTGACATGAACGTCTAAAGCTAAGCGGACCACTAGTGCCCCTGGCCTGGTGATGGACGAAGATTCTGCCTTAACTGGCTCCCCTGACCCTTTAGAGTGTCCGCGAATACTTCCCTCCTTCCTTCTCAGGCCCTCCTTCTAACTACGCAGACGGCCCCCAAGCACTTATGATAGCCGATCAATGGCAGCTTGCCTCCAGTATGGCAGGGTGCAGTACCAGCTTGCGGCCACTGATGTGGTTGACGCTGTGGTTAGAGAGAGACAGAGAGAGAGTTGTCGACCTCTGGTGAACCAGCAGCTGTCTGAAGCAAAACTTTCTGTTCCTGCGGATCAGTAATCCCGGTTTCAGCCTATTGATAGATAACTTGTAGATCAATGGCTGCTGGTGATCACCTCGTGGAGGTTCCGTGTGTTGGGGGGTGCGGTGGAGGGGTTCGTGGTAGGAACCACAGTTACCTCGGACAGGAGAGTGTTGACAAGGAGGTGCAGTCAGTGGGTTGCGCAGAGAGGGTGCAGGTGATGGATTGTGGACGGTGCACTGTAGAAAGATAGGCATGAAGTGTATGGCGGGTATAATAATGTGAAGGCGATGGATTCTGAACAGAGAGGTACTAACGGTAATGTGCACACAGTGGGTTCGAGATTGCAAGATCTTGGTATTGAAGTGCGGATTGTGAGAAATGACACTCAGGTTCTGGGCAGCGAGACGTCGGCGGGACATGAACATTGGAGTGTAGAGTGTGGAAAGTGGTGTGTGAATAGTTCGTGTTCTAAGCGAGGGATTGATTGTTGTGGATAATCGTGTGTGGACTATTCACCGCCGACCGTAGTTTGTTGGCAATAGAGCGTTGAAAATGAGTGCAGAATATTGTGTGTATATAATACGGCTTGGGGAGTGATTGCTGACATTTTTTATCGTCCGTTTTGTTTGGGTAGTTGGTTGTGGAGTGTGGGATGGTGAAAGTGTGTTTGAACAGTAGGAACAGACAGTGCATGTGAACAGTGTGGTGTTTTGTTCACTTAGATTTAAGGATGGTTAACTGTGAAATAAAGTTGTGAGTGCATACTAGGTGGTCAAAGGAATGTGAACCTCGTGTATAGTCAAGGAAATATGGTCATTGGCTTTGGACAGTGGTGCGTCGGACAATGGTGAGTGGTTACTGGGATAGAATAACGTCTTGGATAACTGCAGCAAAAAAGAACGGCTTCTTGGGATGACATTGAGCAGATGGGGATTTCTTTAGTTCAATTTGGGCCTAATTTCATTCTACAGCTAATGATATTTCCAACCTTATATCCCTTCCCTCTCTGCCACCCACTCTGTTATCAATCTCCCAGAAACAAAGAAATCGTGCAATGTTGGATATTTAAACTAATGCGAGAATATTTAATACATGGGAAGACCCAGCTCAAATATCCAAAAACTGAAATCTCATTGGAACAGGGGAAGAGCTCTCCACTGGCTCTGCACAGCTAGAAGAAGAATGTGGCTGAGGTTTCTGGAGACCAATATTCTCAGCTCACGACATGGAGTTCTTCAAGGCTGTGTACAAGTCCAACTCACCTTCACCTGCTTCATCAACGACCACGCATGGTCAAAGATGGGGGTTGTCGCCAGTCATTGCATAATGTTCAGTCACATCTGAGTCTCTACAGATATGCAGCAGTCTGTGCCTAAATGTGACAAGAACTGGTCATCATAGAGACGCCAACTAATCAGTATCAAGCAATAAGCAGAGACAAGAGGAGGAAATACTTTTCAGATCAGCAATATCTGAAATACATTGCCTGTGAGTTCGATTGAGCCAGATTCAATCCAAAAGATATTTGGATAATTGTCTGAAATTAGTTAATGTGGAGCAATACAGGATAACAAAGAAGCCTGGGATGTGAGCAGCTGAGTTGCTTTTGAAGGGAATCGGTTCGTGGACCTAGGGATGGATGGCGACCCTTTATTCAGTGGAACCGCTCCATGATTGGAATTTATTCTCGTTAGTGTTTGGAGGTTTGTGTCGACAAAACTTCAATATAGACAGTAGACCACTGGAATCGAATTTTCAGATAGTTAATAAATTTGTGAAGCAGTAGTGTAGGTGTTAGACAGAAAACAAATCACAATTGTAGATAGTTCACTGATGTAAACTGTTGCTGGAATATGTTGATCTCATCAGAGATGTCAAGACAGCTTCTTGCTCTACAAACGAAGTGTTAGGGAGCTGTTCCTAAGTCTTTCGCCCCCTTTCCGGTGGCCCTTCCGTAGGAAGAAGACAACTCCCTGATGTGGACTGCTTCCTGACTTTGATTACGTGTTGATATATCATATTTCTAAGGACTGGTAGTTTAAGCTGTGTCAATTACCCAATTGATTCCTTTCAACTGATGACCACGGGACAGGTTGTCTCCTTGCCCACCTTCATCTGAAGGTTAAATTGTCATTCTGTCTGAGACCAAAACATCCCACTTTCCCCAAGCACAACCTGATAATAGACTACGTATAGCGCCAGGAATGACGTCAGTTCAATGGAAGATTGTGACCTCGGTGATTCTTATGGCCTTTCTTGTTCCTCCGATTTGTCATTATTTAGGAGGAATCTGGAAAACTGTTAATTTAACAACACCAGTCAAACGAGATCTCATGATACGCAGAAAAATATTAGAACAATCCAGTTTTGAAGTGTTCCCAATTTCTGACATTCTGTCCATGCATTGGGGAATTAGGCTTCACAACCCTGTTACATCCAATCAGCGATTTTAACATTTTTAAAGCATATTTTCCCTTGTTCAGCATTAGGCTATAAAGCCAGCGATCTGTGTATATGTTTTCTTTGAATGGCCTTCTTAATGTGTCTTGCATACCACAAAGATTTGTATACATCACGGATTTGTCTGCTACTGCACCCCATTAACCCCTACTAGTTGGTTTATATGAAATTCCCATATTCTACTTTCTAAAATACATTTCTTCACCCTTCTCTTTGAATTGACTGTTTTGTCCAGCAGAGTGTTAAGAATCAACCACATTGCTGTAGGCCCGGAGTCGCATGTCGACCAGATCAGATAAGGACGGCAGATTCCTTCCATAAAAGGCACGTGTGAACTAGATTATTTAAAAATAGCCATCATAAATACCATTACTGAGACTGATTTTTGTGCTCCAGATTTATCTACTGAATTTAAATGCCACTAGCTGAGGCAGTGGACCTTTGAACCCACATCCCAGAGATTAGCCTGGATTTACCATTACGTCACTGTCTCCCTCCACGTGCAAAGAATGCATGTGCTGCAAACATTTTGTAACTTTTTTCCTCCATCTACAAGCAACTGGCAGAAGGAAAAGACAGTAATTCTACTTCGTCACCGTCTATCCTGGGGAGAATGAACAAGGTGATGGGGACCCGCAGTTGAAATTTAAGAAAATTACAATCTGACATAGATTATATTCCTATGGGAGAAATATTGGCAAATTGTGCCTGTCCTCACGTAAACCCTGTTGATTCATGGCTCTATGGCAGTAACAATATTTTACAAATTAAAGTATTTGCCTGCTGATAGCGCCGTAATTCCGACAGTAGAAATACTGTCTGTGCTATGCCCCACAACATGGTAGCCGCTTAAATTGTCTCTAAGTGAGCTTGGTTCAAAATGAACGATGAAATCAAAGTATTTCTGGATTTACAAAAAAAAAGGAAATTCTATTGTTGCTAACATAAGGGATTGAGATCAAAATGCCCAGAAGTCGCTCAGAAAACGGTTATAAAAATAGTGGTATTGCAATAACATTATTCAACACTTATTCTTCGTGCAATTTAAAAGAAAATCTACAGATGAGGGCATAATTAGCTCTGCTACATGCTGTAACTTTAATTCATTCAGTCACTGATGAATGTAACTGTTAGAAGCAGAAAAATTCGTGTTTGCAGATTGACATCAATTGAGTAGTAACTGGACTCTTTGTTCAAGACTCCAAGTCAATGTGAATTTCATGGCTTAAGCAAGACGGTACACATAATGATGGAGCATAATAGAGAGATTAGTTGGTTTCAATCTTGCAGAACGGTGGCTGCTTTGCTTATTTAAAACTTTTGCATTTACACTTGAATGAATAAATAAATGGAGAGAAGAGGTGCATCATTTGAGTGTCATTCAAGGAAGTCTGTTAGAGTTGGTTAATAAGGTGGTATATCAATCATTTACCGATCATTCAGCTCGGTCATATGATATCAGTTTGTCCGGTCGTTTCCGACAGAAATTACAGGTCTATAAGCAGAAACGATTTAAACTGTGCGTATAATTTCATTAAAACGCCTTGCAGACGGTTTTATTATGTCATGTACTTATGATTAGTTAATTACCATTTAAGCAAAATTCTCCAGTCTTCGGTGAGGTTGAAGGAAAGCACTGGCAACGATATACTCTGCTTTTCATCTATTAAACTAAAACGCCGCACTAAATGACGCGCATTTGCGTTCCTCTCTCGATGACGATGTGCATATTGTTACATTAGTCAGCGAATCAATCGGCCACATCCCAATTCCGAATCAGCTACATGTGGATACTGTACCAGACCCGCTGACGTACGTTTGCTGCCGATTTATGCAGCGTTTGAACAGCGAATGTGTCCTTATTGTTACAGTTCACGCAAGAAGTGGTGTATTCTGATCTGTTTTGGCAATGCGATGATGTTGGTAGCCCAGAACTATGGACAATGAAGGAGGAGGCTAGAATCATCTTTCTAGCACATGGCCAAATTCTAGCATCTGCCATTGGCCGATGTTTCATGGTTTATCGATAGATACTGAGCCAATTTTGCCGGGGTGTATCTTGGTCATCAAAACCCGGATTGGGAATTAAACGTTGAACTTTCGGCTCGGTGGAAGAGACGCTATGTTTTGGCAGCAAGAAACAGTTACCCTAAAGAGCACATCGAAGTTAAACGGAGCGAATTCTCAGATTTAAATACCTTCATTTGCCAAAGCTAATTTCCCATACAAGCAAGTCTGTTTCCAGTTAATTAGTTTAACTAATGCAATGCATTCAGATCCGGAAAGGTTAGCCATCCAGTTAATTTAATTTCTGCAAACGACTCTATACTTACGTTTAAAGTAATCACCTCATATGTAAATGTTAATAGAGTTATGTTAAACAATCAGAGTTTAAAAGTCATTTCTTTGCACAGAAAGTAATCAGCAGAGGACCGATGACTATAGGGATAATATAATACAGGATCCTAAAGGTGGTTTTCTGTAGTTATTAGTTCAACCGACACTGGTTCAGCGGTAGCGTAAGATATAGCTCACAACCCACACTGTAGGGTGTAGCTCAACCCACACTATAAGATGTAGCTCACAACCCGCACTGTCGATTGTAGTTCAACCACGGTGTAGCATGTAGCTCAACCGATACTATAGGATATATCTCACAACCGACACCCTACGACATATGTCACAAACTACAATATAGTCTGTAACGCACAACTCACAACTCAGCCCATTTGTAGGATCTAAGTCAACTACACTGTAAGATGTATCTCAGCTCACCCTGTAGGATCTAGCTCAACCCAGATGTTTCTAGCAGCAATATATTATTGATTTTGCAATGCTGGCAGGGCCGAAGCTAATGGTCTTGAATCACCTGATAGTATTACTGGTGGCCAAAGGAGATAGTCAATCATGTAGAGTTGTTTGCAACGATGTTGGAAATTTGGTTGCAAACATCAACTTGCCTGCTCTTTTAGCAGCACAAACTCACAAATTAACAGATTTATTGAAATGAATTCCTCAATTTAACTTTTTCTAAAGATCTACGTGTGGGTAACCTATGGCCATTACCGCTTTCCCAGGATGGTATGATAATATTCACCAATTTGATTCCTCTTTCCTCATGGAAGGCAAACGGCATTTGGCCAAGATATTAGAAAACAATCGATTCCTGGTAAATGATGTCAGGTGGTAGATAAATTAGTAGGAAAGAAGCATATTGAAGGGATATTGAATACTTCTTTTGGGTTTTAGTTAGTGAGTGACAAGGAGGTTGGATGAACCCCAGTGTGGAGATCAGTCAAAAGCAAATTTCTATCGTTAGTTGGAAGATCATGCTCAGAACTTTTATCGATTTTAGTCATTTTGTACAGAGTGATATCTTTGTCCTCTAAACTGTCAACAACCTGGCAGTCAAAATACTGAGGCAAACTCTCCTCGTGGAAGTAGAGAGATCCATTCCTCTTTCTTAATTCTGAAGAGAGATAGATTGTAGCTCCTTGTTTGGTGAAATAGCGAAAGGTCTCTATTAGAGCCGGGTAGGTAACTGAACTGTATACAATATCTGAACCCAGGACGAAATCATAGTCAGTAGGAAAGTTCGTGTGGTCTTCACCCCATGTCAACGGACGGATTTGCAAGCGGTGTCTGCAGGCACTGGGAATGTTTACTTGGACATTGGTTTCGATTTGCTTCAGGACCTTCTGTTTATCCGTCATGGTTACATCTCCACCTAACGAGGGGAAAACAACTACGTCAGTTCTAATTTGTTGTTGTGAACTGATTGGACACCGTGATCACATAATCAAAAAGAAACGACTCTAGAGGAGAAAACTTTGGTGAAGTATTACCCACACGGTGCTGTGCTTCAGCATTCCTTAAAATAAGTGAAGTCGAAGCTTTACGCCTTTTCGTCAAGACTAAGGTACCAGAAAACCGTATTTCGAAAGGAAATGACAATTTACACAGCATCGTATTGAATCTCTGCCAGGAAGGGTCACTCAATAGCAATGGTTATGCACTTCCATAGGTACACCAGCACAGCAGCTCTATCTGGAGTATCATCTGGACCGACAAAATTTACAACTTACTTAATTTTAAGTCAGCTTTCTCGGCGGATTGATGCACTGTTTGACGTTATGAAAATGCTCAATACAGCTCGCTTTTTACAGTATTCTGTGTAAAAAAGCAGTTTACACATTTCCCCCAATTGGCAGAAATAAACCTTTGATACAATTCACCACATTTCTCAAGAATAACAATTTTCTCAGCCAATTATAAAACAGGAGAACACACATCCCCCCCTCCAAACCCCACACAAACGTAGACACACGCATACACATGCACACAAACACACAGTTAGCCACACACACACACACACACACACACCAACACAAACACAGATGCATCTACACACATGCGCACGCTAATACAGACCCATACTGGCGCGCACACGCATCAACATAAACATACACGTATACACGCGCGCACACACGCGCACACGACCTTTGATTTAAGGTTTGGATACCTTAAGGCCTACCCAATCATTCCTACCAATTGCGCAACAGGGAATGAACCTATTATGCCTATTGGACCCGAACATACATTGCGTAATTCAGAATCTGCGTTTATATTTCAAAAACCTTAACGAATTTGGAAGTTTTAGGATTTTTTTTGTTTACAAACCACTGATCAAACTTTCACATCGTAAAAGCTCTAACAATCCTACAACAGCTCGTTCCATAATTTCCATACTCGTGATCTAATCTTCCCGGGCTGCCGTCTATTATCTCCGCATCCTTCTCCAGGGCTACAACTATGCATGGAATTCTGCACCGTTCAACCCTGTTCTGTTGTGGCTCCTCCACCCCCTATCACGCTAGCGGCTGTGTTTTTAACCGATCAGACCTCAGCCTTTTCTCTTTTCTACACCTCTGCATCTTCCCTCCCTCTGTCCGCCTTTGAGGTGTTTTTTTTCGTCACACATCCTCGTATCCCTGCTGGAACTGCACCGTTACTGGATGTGGTCGTCCGGTGTTTAACGTTTTAAATGCTCGATATAAAGGCAAGCGTGTTTACATTTTCATGCCTCATTTTGCAAGGTGACCATTTAACTCAAAAATCACAACTCACAATTTTTTCTTCTTATTACTTAATTCTGCTTTCTGTCGTATAGAAATAGGTGTCATAAATGGCTAGATGCCATTTATACGCTCAAAAATTAATGTTACTAAGTTGTATTTCTGTAACTGCAATAGCCGCGAAATGATACAACAAAGTAATGTTTCGCTTACTTAAGCTGGTAAGGGTAGTATTTCCTGCCCACCCCTAGGTGCTCTTGAAAACGTGGTGGTCAGCTGCCTTGTTGAACGGTTGCAGTCTATGTGATGTACTTGCACCCACATGGTTGTTGGAGAGGGAGTTTCAGGATTTTGACTCACTGACAGCGAAGGAACCATGGCATATTTTCAAATCGGGGGTACGCTGTGTGGGAAACTTACAGGTGGTGGTGTTCGCCTGCTTCCGCTGTCTTCGTCTTTATAGGGGTTAGAGGTCAAAAGGTTGGAAGTCAAAAGATTAGAAGGTGCTGTGTAATGAGGTTGAGGTGAGTTGGCAATGCATCTGGAGATATACATTACTGCTACTGCACTTTCGCGATGGAGGGATTGAGTGTCTAAGCTGGTGGATGGAGAGGGCATACCAATGAGTAAGGTCTCTTTGCCCTTGAAGATGTCGAGTTCCTCATGTGTTGGTGGAGGTGGACTCAGTCAGTTAAGCAGAGATATGGCATCATACTCTTAATTCGTGCCTTCAAGGTTTCGGGCAGGTTTGGAGAGTAAGTAGGGGTTTACTCCCTGCAGAATTCCAAATTCTTGATTTGGACGTGTTGTCACAGAACTTAGATGCTGGCTCAGTTCAGTTTCTGGTCAGTGATAACTCCAGGATATTGATAGTGGGACATTCAGCGACAGCAATGTAATCGCTTGCCAAGGGGAGGTTGTCTCTTGTTGGAGACGGTCACGTTTTGAGGATTTGACAAATGTGAACACAGCCTGCTCCATTTAGTAATGCTGTTTTAATTTTTTCACGGACTCTGTTTGATCTCTAACCAGAAAATGAAACGATTGCCGTCTGGATTTGGAGAAAATTCAACCGATAAAACTTTTAATCTCTTTGTTAAAAGCAATCTACTTGAACGGCCAGGTATTATTGGCAGTTCAATGCATTGACGATATTTGTTCATTGCCGTGTCCTATGCACTAAGTTTGGATTAAATAACCAGACAATATGCCTTTTCTTTTGGTAATATTGATTGGGGGGATGAATTCTGGTCAGGACTCGATTTTTTTTTTCTATAGACCGTCAAGAATATTCTTCATCTAACTAATGGAATAAATTAACAGTAACGAGGCTGTGGTGCAAACCTCATCCACATTCTCCTTGAACATAATACAAGAAATGAAAGGCTACAGCAAGAAAACAAATCCTTCGAATAGAAACTAGTCCAACATAAGGAAGGTCCGAGATGGCGCCTGCACGATAGATAGTGATCGTAATCGTCGGAGTCCATCTGCCCCATAAGAAGATGAAGTCTTATTTAAGCAATTTCTTTTCATCCTTATTGTAACTCAAAATCATGCCGGATTGTGGCGTCAAAACACATTTCACTGTATCTTTAAGATATATGTGACAATAAATCATTCATTCATTCATCCATTCAAGCTTATCAAGGAGCACTAACAACCCCAGATCTTAGAGATCCCCAGCGCCCTTATTGTCCATATTCCCGTTTGGCGTCAACAAAGTGATACGATTCCCTGCTACCCTCCACTCACCGAGCAACGTCGCTAAAATCCCGACGATTCCGGTGCCCGATCCCAGTTCAATCACTTTCTTCCCGCTGAAGTTAATATTTTTCTTTTCAAAATACCGGCAAAGGGCCAGCCCCTGGAAAAGAGGATACCATGAAGTTATTCAAAACACTTGGACCTGACACTGGATACCAAAGAGCCGGTGAGCTCTGCATTCAGATAATTCCTTACAAAGAATAAGGAAGGTTCCTGGAACGATTGTCAGCCGGACACTACAGCCAAGCTCCCAAGGGCTTAGTTCAGCATTCGCTAGCCTGATCTCAGGCACCGTGCTCCGGGCGGAATCTCCCTGGGAGGTCGGCGCTCTATGGACCAACAGGTTGCCGTCTCCCGCCTATCTCACTAGGCCAAAGTGAGCGGGAATAGAGCAAGGAACGGAATGAAGAGCGCCTGGAGATGATGTCAGTCTGAAAGCGAAACTAATTGAAAAAAAAGAGACTGCAACTAATATCTGAAATAGAAAGGAAACAAAATGGGGCCGAGGTTATTGGAGGGATCGATCATCGCAATATTTCTTGTCTCCTGCTCACCAACTCTATTTACCAGCCTTCTCTAAGGTTCGATTCCCCATTTACTCTTTTTACTTGCTTGAAACCTGTTACCTTTCTCACTCCTATCAACTCCTCCCCACTTCCTTTGATAAAAATTCATTGACCCTCTTCTCCCACCATGGACGCTGTCTAACCTGGCGATTACTGCGTACAATTCCGGTCGCCCTTCTATTGGAAGGATGCTGTTAAACTTGAGAAGGTGCAGAAAACAAAATACAAGGATATTGTTGGAACTGAAGGTTTTGAGTTATCGGGAGAGGCTGAATAGGCTAGCGCATTTTTCCCTGGACCATCTGAGACTGAGGGATGGCCTTATAGAGATTTTTAAAATCATGAGGGGCATGGATAGGAGGAGAGGTTTTGCTGCAAGAATGACATATCGAGCCTCCATAGGCAAGACGTCCAATGGCTTCGTTAGCTTCACCGCTGATCTAACGCGCTTTGACACCACCCATGGAGAAAGGACGCGTGTCGAAGCGAAATTGCTCCTATTCAAACGCATGTGCTCAATATATGTTCCAGGCAGCCGCTCCAGATGTGTCTGATCGGAGATGTTTACTCTCTGGAGAGAGGGAGAGGGACTTTAACAAACCCAGCGTCAATAAGAACAGAGAGAGAGAGACAGAGTGGGAAAGTTACATTTGATTTCATGTGAGATAAAAGGGGCTGCCTCTCTTCCAAGCGACCAATGCTGCAAACTTACAGCGTCCCAGACATACGCCGACACGCCCAGGTTAGCGCCCAGAATTTGGGCGATTTTCAGATTATATCCGCAGAACTCAAAGTTGTTGTGGATAATGTAGCAGCTCGGAGAGTAACTCTCGTCGTAGGGAGCGTCGTTTCTGGAAGGTTCGGAGGACTGCGTCTGCGTAGTCATCTTCTCAAACGGATACTCCGATGTTTGTAGTGGGGCCAGGGCGCCCGATCGAAGCGCCCACTTGCATTTATAAAGCGCCCAACGCACCCCGCGGACGTCCCAGGGCTCCCCACAGCCAATCACGCATACTGTCTATTGTTGTGCAATAAAGCAGGACCGTCATTGCCGCAGCCCGCCAGGTAGTAGCAACAGTTATGAGACGGAGGATCCCTCGTGGCAGCTCGCCAAGCTCCTGTTCAACCTCTAGCAGCTTCTTTACGATTGCTACGGAGCACCCTTTGGCGTAGAATCTCCGCCTGCTGCAAAGCAGACACTCTGTAATCGCTCAGATTGTGTGCTCGGATTCCGTCTCCCTCTCAGAGGCTAGAGCGCCGTCTCTGAACCGAGGTGTCTTTACTATTCGGTAGAGACTGTGCAGAATTTAACACAATCGGATCGCGCTAACGATGCTCATAAAATGATCCGTTTCAGATCTGATTCCAAAGGCTCGGAATCAGTCCCACATTCATTGGACGAAATCATTTGCTATGGAAATGTAGTATGAAATAGCAATAACAATTATTTTGACCAGTGCCTCTGTACACAGTATTATATCCTACACTGTTTCCTGGATAACGTTTCAACATTTTGTTCATGTATTTCTCTAACTATTACATTTTGTGAGCCATTCAATCTCACTGTCTACCTTAGTAGATCATTCAATTTATTCATTACCCTCTGCCCTAAGTAACTTCATCCAGACAGCCTTCTGTTACCCTCTTACAACATTCTGTTCACGTCTCATAAGAACTCTGTGAAATGCTAGCGTTCATCGTGATTTTAAATATCGCAACTGTAGCAATAATCATCCGCCTGAGTCTTCTCGTTTATCTTGGTCAAAATGCTTGCAAACGCTAAACGACAAATCTTTATACAACAGCTTATTGAAGTCATAATGTTCGCCTCCACTGTCCCTAGGAGTCAAGTGTTCGTCACTACTTCCCGAATAAGGTGGTGGAGAGAGAATGAAGTGAATTTCTCTTTCTGTCCTTGGTCTCACTTACACTGGGGAGAGGGAGGGGTTGGTAGTGATGGACAAAAGCAGCTTTGAGGACGACAGTTGAACCAAATGTAAACCAAAGGCGTCACGGTTGGAAAGCTAACTCATCTCTAAACGCAGGAATATGTGGCATACCATTGATGCAGTTTCTCAGCAGTTCAATAAGAAATGCATTCAGGCCACAGGATCCTTCCGTCCTCTATCATCTCTAACCGTTAGCACTGGAACGATGCAACCGTCATTCAGAGAAGGCATCGTCATTCAAATAGGGTGAAATGTAGTGCTCCATATTACCTTTATATCTGAGAGGAACCATTCTATTCGCCCCCCTTTGTAGGGAAGGAAAATCGTGAGCAGTTACTGCAACCAATTCACATTTACTCCAGCTTCCCCCACAACTCCGCCCAAGATCAGGCCTTTCACGAAGAACAAAATATAGAGACAACACAGTGTGGAGCTGGAGGAACACAGCAGGCCAGGCAGCATCAGAGGAGTAGGAAAGTTGACTTTTCGGGTCGGGACCATTCTTCAGAAATGGGGGAGGGGGAAGGGAGCTCCGAAATAAATAGTGAGGAGGGGTGGGGCTGGGGAAGGTAAGTGGGATGGTGATAGGTGAGTGCAGGTAGGCAGTGATGGGGATTGGTCGGTGAGGTGGGATGAGCAGAAAGGTGGGAGAGAAGATGGGCAGGTTGTGTCGGGCCAAGGAGGAGGGGATGAGAGCCAGGGTTGGTCATGAGATGAGGCGGGTGGGGCGGTGGTGGGGAGATTCTGAAACTGGTAAAGTCCACATTTAGAGCGTTGGGCTGTAGGCTCCCAAGGCAGAATATGAGGTGGTGCTCCCCCAGTTTCCGGGTGGCGTTATTGTGACACTGGAGGAGGCCCAGGATGGACAGGTCGCCCAGGGAGTGGGAGGGGCAGTTAAAATGGTTTGCGAACTGAAGGTGTTGTTGTTTGTGGTGAACAATGTCCAGGTGCTGTACAAAGTGGTGGCCGAGCCTTCGTTTTGTCTCACCATTGTAAAGGATGCCGCATCGGGAGCAGCGGATGCAGACCACAATAGACCATATTGACGGATGTGCAGGTGAACTTCTGTCTGATGTGAAAGGTTTGTTTGGTGCCTTGGATGGAGGCGAGGGGCAAGGTTAGGGGCAGAGGTAGCACTTCCTGCAGTTGCAGGGAAAGGTTCGGGAGGAGGTGGTGGGGCTAATGGGGGGTGTGGAGCGGACCAGGGAGTCACGGAGACAGCGGTCCCTACGGAAGGGGTTGGGAGGGAAGCATATCTTTGGTTGTGGGATCAGATTGCAAGTGGCGGAAGTGGCAGAGAATGATCCGTTGGATACAGAGGTTACTTGGGTGATAAGTCCACTAACGTCCGCATCCAATTTACCATTCTCCGCCATTTTCGTCACCTGCAATCTGAACTCACAACCAAAGATATATTTCCCTCCTCACCCCTATCTGCCTTTCGTAGGGACCACTCTCTCAGTGACTCCCTCGTCCGCTCCACGCTCCCCACTAGCCCCACCACCCCAGGCACCTTTTCCAGCAACCACAGGAAGTGCTACACCTGCCCCTACTCCTCCACCCTCACCTCCATCCATGGCACCAAACAAACCTTTCACATCAGACAGAGGTTCGTCAACACCTTCCGGCCGCAAATGATTTCAACTCCTTCTCTCACTCCCTGGATGACATGTCCATTCTGGGCCTCTTCCAGTGTCACAATGGCGCCACCCGGAAACTGGAGGAGCAGCACTTCATATTCTGCCTCGGGATCCTACAGCCCAATGGTCTAAATGTGGACTTTACTAGTTTCAGAATCTCCTCACCACCACCCCCCGGCCTCATCGCATGACCAACCCCGCCTCATCCCCGCCTCCTTGACCTGACACAACCTGTCCATCTTTTCTCCCACCTATCCGCTCCTCCCACCTCACTGACCAATCCCCACCACTGCCTACCTGCACTCATCTATCACCATCCCACCTGCGTTCTCCAGCCCCACTCCTCTTCTCCCTATTCATTTCGGAGCTCCCTTCCCCCTCCCCCATTTATGAAGAAGGGTCCCGACGCGAAAAGTCAACTTTCCTACTCCTCTGATGCTGCCTGGCCTGCTGTGTTCCTTCAGCTCCACACTGTGTTATCTCTGACTCCAGCATCGGCAATTCTTACTATCTCCAAAGAACAGAATATATGTATGTACAGAGTCAGACAGACGTGCGACTACTCCTGTCCAGAATATAAACATTCGTGCTAAAGATACGGAATTTATAGATATCCTTGTTGCAGGTAAGTCTTCAGCCTCCAAAAACAGGGTCGAAGAAAGAAAAGAAACATTTTGCGACAGAATGCTTGAGGCAAAGGGACTACACTAAAGATCTGGAATAGCCTAGTGCGCCCACAAAGGATTAATGCATAGATAGGCTTATAGTTAACATCATAAGTAGCCTCCGTGTGCACACAAAACATTTGTGCTGTTGTTCACAGGAGAATGACAGAGCTAAGCGTATGTTTAATTCAAACGTTACGTCGCATTCAGTCAGTATGTTACATGATCATGTAGAGACGACGGAAGTGGCGCGTGCTTTCTGGCACTTTACACGTATTTTAGCACACAGCAAGGGGCGAAAGTGCAATTAATTTCAATGATGCAGTTTATACACTGCATTGCCATGCGAGGTCGCATTGGCAAAGCAAATGTCACACACGAAGAATTCGTTAGTTGAATATAGAATAACGGATGCAGAAAAAATGCGGCGCCCCAGAAAGAGAAGGTGCATAATGCGTCTGACGTATAGTTTGCAGTTTGTTCAGTGAACATATTGAAACCACGTTGTTAACAATTGGCGATAAAAATAATCCTGCAAATCACACCTGATGTATTTGGGAACATTAAGCGAGTAGATTATTGAAGGTCCTGAAACAGGCTTAGATGCGTGCATAGCTCTGGAACGAGCTTAGGTGACAGACCAGATATTATGTCGTAATGTCCATGTTATGTAACATTAACATTCCGAGAGGCCAGATGGCAAACAACAACACAGCATCAGTGGAGTCCGTTGGTACATGTAATTCAGAATTCAGAAGCTGAAATGAGGGATAGGGAGGAAGAGAGAACAAGTGAACATTTGGGAGCCACTTTACTTTCCTGTTGGGACAATACACTGCACATGTAAATCACAGAATATCGATGCATTGAATCGTTCGATATACCAGAACTAAGCTTTTTTTTTCCCCGAAGAAGTAAAGGTAATGCTGTGATCCGAGCCCATTCTGCACGCCAAACCAAACTACAGAATTCCACGTCTTTGGCTAAACAATGATATTTGGTGAAATGTCAGAGATATCAGGTGAAAGTAGTACAGTAAATGAAATAAAAGTCAGTATGGAATATGAATAGGATTAAGAAAGGCCGCCTTCTCTGCTATGAAGTTATATCGATTCCTATATATATTCTTTACTTTGAATTAAAGGCCCAGAAAAAAAGTTATATCGATTCCTATATACATTCTTTACTTTGAATTAAAGGCCCAGAAAAAGTGTTATTGTGCTCTTCAACAAAATAATATATTTGACTGCATTATTTGTGTCCTCGAAGACTGTATATGGAAAACTGTCCTTTCTACCAACTGAGTTGGGCAGTTTTCAGACTCTGATTGACTTGGATTCCAAGAAGATTCCAACTGAAAGCTGATGAATCCCATTGACTAAGAAAGTGGCACGAAAGTATTTGTAGTCCAATTGGACCATTCAAACCCGTTCCATCATTCTAGATCATGCCCGATCTCAATACAATTTTCTTGCATTCCCCTTGATGTCATTAAGCATTAGAAATTTATCAATCTTTGCATCGAACTCGGAGAATGGTTGAGCTATTACACCACTTCAGGTTGCAGAATTTCAAAGACTGTCTGTTTCAACGAGATCACCTTTCATTCTTTTAAATTCCAGAGAATAAAAGCCCAATCTCCTCAATGTAGAACAATCCTACTGCCACGGGAATTAGTCTGCTGATCCTCAATTGCACTTTTTCTATGGCAAAGGTAAGGACCATATCTATTTAACTTTGTGTTTTCTTTATAAAGCTGTGCACTGAAACGAGAAAGATCTTTTTAGGGTGCTACATGTTTTGAAAAGTTACCAACCAGGTACCCATGGCAAGCATTGTTAAACGCCATTTTTAATGATCAGCAGTATTTAAAGTTTGAGTTGCAGATGAAGACGAGCAGAAGGGTTTTGTATTTAGATGCAGTTGGTTCGTCTGTGGACTGGTGACTAGTTATTGATAACAGAAACCTTTTGCTTACCAATAACTGTGTGATTAGTTCTCGGGTGGCTGAGAAGCTTGGAGCTCGAAGCAAGTTACAGAGACAGAAAGAGAAAAAAAAATACTGATCTTCTCCCTGACCAGAGGCTACCTGTTTTATGAAGTCAAAAAATCGGTTTAAACCTGAAGAAAACCAGTTGCCTTTCTTGCGGAACTTGCAGTAAGCTGCAGCTTTTTAATTGTAAGCAACCAGAGACATTTTCACATGAATCAATTGCTTTGTAGTTCTTACAGGCCAGTGGAACATCCAGAGAATTACATCTGGCCAACTGAAGAAAAATTATTTCAGCATTGGAACCAGGAAGTAAAGGCCACTGAACTAATCTTCCAGTTTTTCTACCTCCACCAATGATCTATTTTCCTTATTTGTTTACCTCTGTGTGTAGGGTGACTTTATAAGTGGAGTAGAGTTTCAGTTAGTAGCGTTAGATGTCAATGGTTTATATCTGTTTACCTGTTGTTACAGACTACTTATAATAAGTGATAATTCTTGATTAGTATAGAAACCTGCCCGACCATTCTATCAACCTTTATCTGAAAGCCAGGAAAATCGGGGTACTGTGCACATTTCACAAGAAAGAAACGTTAACATTTGATATGACTCCAAGAAGAGAGGAGCTCGATTTAAGGCGTGCTACCCTAATGGTAACACAAATATAAACTTCCTTAGATAAAGAGACTAAAACTCAACGCAATACTCCAGGCACGTCTCACCAAAGTTCTATACAATTGAAAGAAGATATCTTTACTTTTGCACATCTTTTCTGCACAAAGCTGACAGTGAGCTGGCGTAGTGGTTGCAATCCTGTTGCTAAAAGAGGCGAAGTCTTGAATCAGAGACTCCATTTAATTATTGTGTTGGTGACAATAGCAGTTACTAATGGGCTGAAGAGAAAGTAACGTCTCCCAGACTCTCCTTCAGTCGTAGTGATATCTCAGGCCATGCACAGCGATATCAATGAGATTGTAAAGGAACGGACATGAGATTCGTAAGGAACTGGGATAAAGCGATTGAATTGAAGTTTATAACATACTGTAAGGACACCAAATCTTTCATTCTTTAAGGCGGCACATTCATCCCTCGCATCATTCATAGAACCATAGAATCCCTACAGTGTGGAAACAGGCCCCTCGGCCCAACAAGTCCACACCGACCCTTGGAACATCCCACCCATACCCATCCCCGTATAACCCACAAACCCCTGAACACTACGGGCAATTTAGCATGGCCAATCCACCTAGACTGCACATCTTTGGGCTGTGGGAGGAAACCGGAGCACCCGGAGGAAACCCACACAGTCACGGGGAGAATGTGCAAACTCCACACAGACAGTGCCTGAGGCTGGAATCGAACCCGGGTCCCTGGCGCTGTGAGGCAACAGTGCTAACACTGAGGCACTGAACCACCGAACCACTGTGCCGCCCCATTTATGCCCTTGCTTGCTTGGGCTTGACAATTTGAACGTCTGTGGCAATTGCGTTAGCCTAGAACATGTTAGAGGCTCAGTCAGAACATACAATCTAAAGTATAACTACTAAATGTTAAACTGGCCGAGTAAGCACTGCAGTGGACATATGTAACAATGTTCATGGATCAGGCTTCCTATTGAATATTTTATTTTACAAATGAGAATTTGGATGCACAGCCTTCCAGCAGCGTATAAAATTCAATAAAATTATCAAAGGTATTCTGGCCTCAAGTCATTCATTCTGATTTATTAGTACACATAAAGTTTGACAACTGTCAAATCTGAGCAAGGAATACCTTGCTGGAAGAAATGGCTTGGAATTAAATATATTGTTCAGCTCAGGTACCTTCAAATTAACATGGTACACCATCGTGCAATCGTATAATTTATGCTGTGCGAGGGTCTTTAAAGAATTGTGTTTACTTTGAGCAATGGTTCTACATTTCTAACTGTGGTTCTCTGGACCTGGATGCAATTCTTGTCAAAATTGATGATGTTGAGTTACATCTAACTAACAAATGAATTAACTGAACAATAAACGGTCACACGAGTTAGAAGAAATTGACTATTTGGCCTCCATGGGCCTGCTGCACCATTCAACATG